TGGCATTCGATTCCTCTAAGTATCATTTCTTTCTCTACTAGGAATGCTTTAGGAAAGCCTATGGACTAGTGAGTCCTAATTTTCACTAGCTTAGAGCAAAGATTTMCTAGTCCCTGACTAGTGGACTTGAGCTAATTAAAATWATGTGAAGCCCTGTAGCTGAAGTGCTTTCCATTTGAAATCTTTTGAGAATGAGATTTTTTGTTTGATCAGAAGATCTGATTTAAATACTTCAGTTTAGTATTCTTCTTATTCACTCGTAACACACATGCAGGGCTGTCAACCCCCAAGGTATTCAAATCTGGAGAATTGATAGGGTAGGGACATGAYGTCACAGCGGAAAAAAGCGCGCGAAAAAGACGTCATTCACTTTGTAACATTTGATGTGATTGGTTTATTTTTGGCCAATCAGATTATCGCTTATATTACAATGGGCTGCTTGCGAGAACAGTTTATGAGGAATGTTTTGATTTTGTTAGCGATGTAAAATAACAAAAACAACGCAAAAATAATTGGAATTTTATGGTTGTGAARGTCGAGTCTAGATATGGTCAGCTTCGGCGATTATCCGGRAGATTTGAKACTCTAATCTGGAGACMGGGAGATACGGTCCAAAATCTGGAGACTCCCGGCTTATCCGGGAGAGTTGACAGCCCTGCACATGGGGTCTTTCTTCATGTACCATAGGCCTATTGTATTCTTTGTAAGCTTCTTTCTATGTTAGTGTAACTTGGGGGTCTTTGATTGTTTCTTTTGAATTACGTAGACTTTGTCCTAGTGATTACCGGCACAATGATGAGCTCAAACATATTCAACACCACCAACAAAGTCCCAACTAKTAAYAATAACTGCTAGTTAAATATCATCAGTGCGTATGTAAAATAACTTCATTTTATTCAAGCGTGTTTAATGAACAATTCAAATCGAAAATTCAAAATTTGGCGACTGAATGATTTGGAGTTACCTACCAAGAAAAAAACGTTAAAAATTAATACCTAATGTTTTAAGCAAGCCAGTTATCAGTTATCTAATTTTGGAAGCATTTTGATTCACTGTCTGATAAATTATTWATCACACTGGTCTTATAGCAGTAGAGTGCAAAAAATATACCCGTGAAATAGATAGCTAGCTAACTAATTACTAACCTTTGGTTGCCTAAGTCTAATTAGTTAAAATAGGTGAGCCATGACGGGTAAACTAGTGCACGTGTGCTACTCAAGGGCGTGCATTTTAAAATATTTTTAAACAAACTTAAAAAAACTGAAACAATATTTTGTTGTACATGCTTATCCTTTGTATAGTTTGACATGTTCACATTTTCATATCTATTCATTTGCATATTGAGTTGTCACTCTTGACTAGTAAACGCCCGTGTCCTTGTCATGCCTCACTGAATTCCTATGTCTTGTCTAATTAAGTGCTAACTATCTCCTATTTCATCCTAACTATTTCACGGATATATTATTTGCACTCTAACAATAACACTGCTAGTTAATATTATCTGTGTTTATATTTTCATTTTATTCAAGAAAATCTAAAGAACGATTCAAATTCAAAATTCAAAATTTGGCGAATGAAGGATGTTTGGAGTTACCGAGAAACAAATATTAAAAATTAATAAMTGATACATAAGCAACAATCTTTGAAAAAGGTGTGTACTTAGTAATAATTATCATCATAAAAAAGCCAGAGTTAAAAAGCAGGTTTTGGAAATGATAATGAGAAAAAGCAAGACACGATTATGGATTTCGTTCACTGTTTTTTTTTTCATCAATAGACAACATTCRCTTTCAATTTGTTTATTAGTTCCATAACTTTATAATCTTTATTCAAATTATGTATTTATTTTGGAAAGAATTAAAAAAATAATAATGAAGGCTATTGATCGTTTATGAAGAAAAACAGCACTTCTTTTAACAGTAGACCTCTTCAAATACGACTTCATCACATATCAATCTCACACTGAAATTGTATACTAAAGATGTGTTTAAAATATTACTGGTAATATTTAATCAATGTTACGTATATAAATGGCAACAGAGTTTGTTACATAAACTTAAGCTTGGCTACACATCAAAAGCTTAAACAAATAAATATATAGATTCTACTTAATAAATATAGATGAAAACATAAACTATCCTATACTTGTATTTATGTTATCGAATTATCGTAAATTTGTGGAAATTCTTCATATTCCAAACTTTTAGAAAATTTTAAATAAGATGATAAAGAATTTAAAACTATTCTCAGAGAATTTATGTAATTAATAATATGATTTAGTGAATTTAATCTTTGAGTATACAGCTGAAACGTTATGTACTCTAGCAAGTTTAAAAAGAAAGACTTTAAGCTTATGTTGTACAAAGAAAAACAAAAGAGTCTTGATAAAACAACAAACAACATCAAAAGAAAATCCATCTAAAAACCAAAGATAAAGATATTTAAAAGATTTTGTTCATGGTACGTACCTGGATCAATCTCTGCTTGTTGTCGCAAGGTGACAGGTTTACAACTAGAGGAAATTAACATTAATTGATGAATATTTTTGTTTTGTTTTTCTTGGATTTGTTCCTTCGCGACGACATTTGTTGATACAAAGCTCGCTCGACAATCAACGAAATATGTCAACAAATTCACTTAATTCCAACTAGGAAAAGATTTGATTTCACTCGATATACATTGGTTATGCTTACCTTGGTAGTTTAAGTAGGTTGTGTGGCAACTTTAGGAAAGATTTTTGCGATTATTTCAAAAGAATCTAGAAAATTGCTGAAAATTGAGCGTCCATTTTGTTTCCATGCTAGTTTGGACACCAGGGTAACGCGTCCTTATTTACCACAGGAACCCCGAGTTAAAGTTTTTTGCACCTTTCTTTCATATCAAGTTCATCGACTCCTGGCTAACTTGAATTGTCAAGAATAGGATGAATTCTGGAGTAAAGTTGTCGATAACATATCTCTTGGGTTTAATGTTTGTTTTCCATTTCAGACCATGTGTCATTCCCTAGAGTATCATTTTTTTGTTTTTCTATATATTTCAGGCCATTTGTCATTCAAG